TATCCCGGCCCCAAACACAAGCTCCTCACAGGAAAATACAGTGTGTCTGTCCTGATTTAATCTTAAATTTAAAGGAGCCCGGCAGAGCACCGGAGCCCGGCAGAGCACCGGAGCCCGGCAGAGTACCGGAGCCTGGCAGGAGAGTGTGCTGCCCTGCTCCGTGCTGCTCTTCCAGCACTGCCTGCTGCTCCCCTCCCCATCCCCACCTCAGCAGGTGCTTCCACCCCCTCTTTGCACTGCAAGAAAGGGATTCTGGCAGCCTACAGGAAGGAGGCCCAGTCAGGAAACAGGGAAAAAGTCCTTCTTCCCTGGATCCAGACCACTGTGCCATCGCGCAGAGAAGGGGCATGTCGAGTGAGACTGTCCAAAGCTGCTCGAGAGGGAAAGGAAGGAAGTGTTTGGGAGGGAATCAGGGAAAGTTTCAGAGTGATGTGGCCCTGGGTCCATGCCTCTTGACCCCAGGACGCCAACTGCCAATGTAGGGAAACGCCCGAGACTTTCGATAGATTCCAATGCAGTTGTCAATATTTACCCAGCCAGAGGTTCCACTTGTGAGCCGGAGAGTGCTTAGTGCTTTGCAAAGGCTTGAGTAAAAGACAGTCCCCAGGTCCGTCAGCTCATGTGTCCCAGGAAGAGTGGGTTGGTGGGTCGGGGAAGCCAGTTTGCTTGAGACAACACCCAACAGCCACACAAGCTGAAGGGACTTAAGCCCACATCCAGAGACCGCTCGAGGCAGGTGCGCTGAGGAAGTGCCAGTCCCTGCCGCGCGCGCTCGCCAGGCCACAGTCCAGGGCAAGGCTAGGCCGTGAGCTGTCAGCGCTGGGGTGGGTGCCGCCCGCCACCCTGCTGCGCCTAGTCCTTACGCTCTGCTCAGCTTGCTTGCTCCTGCTCACACCTGCTACACTGCATGAGGTCTGGAGGAAAAATACAGTCACTACAGACAGGAGGTGTTCGTTTGTTCAAGTTATTCTGCTCTTAAATGTATTCGTGGCTCCCAAATGTACATTATCCTACTACATAAAACTGAGATTGTTTGTAGTGATATTTTCTTTCAGATTTGAACATATGCCTTTCTCTTTTGCTCCAGATATTTGCAATAAGAGGTTCATGTCAAGCAAGCATGAGGGCATCAGTCACAGGATAACTTTCTGACAAAAAGTTAGGTACACGTGCTACGCATGCTGCACACGCGCCATGGCGTCCAGAGGCGCTTCGCCAAGAGGGAGCGCTCGCCACGCCTCTGTGCCACACCGCCGGGTACCACTGCAGATGGCAAACTTCCTCTGCAAAACTATGTAACTCTTGCTTGTTAACATCCTACAGGGATTTTAACTACTAGAACATCCACGGCTGGTAAGAAATAAAAATTCTCTGGTTACACTTTATATTTCAAGGTGCTTAATACTCAGATAGGGCCGGCCAAATAACCCCGCAGATAAAAACACCCGCACGGAGGCGCAGGGGCTGGGGGTCCAATCCCCGGGCCTGCCGAGCCAGCCCCGCCCTGGGGGCACGCTGAGACAGCAGTTGAGACTGGGCGTGGTGGCCCACGCCTGTAATCCCAGCTCCCGGGAGGCTGTAAATAGGAGATCACTATGAGTCCACTCTAGTAGTGAGACCGTGAGCACCCTGTAGACCCTTCCCTAAAATACAAAAAAATAAGCCAACCAAACAAGATAACATCTCAGATAAAATTTTAATAATGAGGTGTACTGCTCCCAACTCTAAGTGTACTAATACTGACCCTCACTCACCTGAGGGCATAATTCTTTTTTTTTTTTTTTTTTTTTTTTTTTGCTCCGAATGCCCTCAGGGCTTTTTTGGCTGGTTGGAGAGTTGTGGGGATGGAACTAGAGCCACCTGAGGCTGACAGCTTGGTGGAAGCAGCCACTTAAAGAACTGAGCTAGGGCCAGGCCCCCTTCCTGAGGACATAATTCTTGTTAACTTCTACTTCAGTTCCTAATCTGCTACTGAAATTCACGTCAAGCTTATAAGATAGTTCTTGGCCCTCAAACCCCACAGGGAGACTTACTTAATCTGACTTTCTGTGGCTTCAATTATAGAGACAAAAATTAACTGTACACAAGTGCCAGCTTTGGCTGTGGCACTCAGGGCTCCATCAAAGTGGGACCTAGGTAAGGTGCTGCCAAGCCTAGACAAAATGGTGCCACCCCAGTTCCTCCTGGACCATGTTTCAAGTGTGGTGAAGGAGGACGCTGGGCACAAGCCTGCTCCTACCCACAGTCACCACGTGGACCCGGTCCCATCTGTAAGGGCCAGGACACTGGAAATGTGAGTGTCCTGACTGCCAGAGAGTGGGTAAGTCATCCAATTCCCCGCCCTCACAGGAGAACTCCCTGCAACAGATCCATCGATAATCCGCCTGCTTGGTCTAGCTGCTGAGGGAAACGATGGGGCTCGGGGTCCACAGCGCCATCGGGGTATCTCTGTCAGAGCTCCAAGTCTCACTAGACATCTCAGGTGGGACACTCTTCTCTCCTGGCATGAGGGCCACATATAGTGTTCTTCCTGAGTTTGCAGGTTGCTAGTAGATCTACAGTCTCCAGAGGGGGAGTGGGCCAATCTACACGACTCCTACAGACAGGGCCCATTCCTTGCCGACTGCAGACACTGTTCCTTACTATGATCTCCTTGTGGTCCCAACCTGCCCCACACCGTTCCCAGGGAGAGATCTCCTCCCAAGCTCCACTTCTCTTCACTGCTCTCTCCATAGCGCTTGTCCCAACCTCTTCCCACCCTGTTCCCTCTTCCCTTGTCCACCCTGTGCTCTAGGACACTTCCAGTCCCACTCGTGCTACCATGCTACCCCTGTACTAGTTTTCCTCGGGGTCCCTCAGCCTTCCCTTGAATTCCCCAACATCCAATAGCTCCTAAACACCAATGGGAAAAAACAACAGCCCCCCAACAGGGGCTCTTGGCCAGTGGTCTCCGTAGAAGTGCCCACTGGCCGGACAGTACCACCATTCTCCCTGTACTTAGGCCTCATGGCTCCTACCTCAGGGTTATCAATAATGTAGTCACTCGTTCTGACACACAGTTCATAGATGGTAGCTCAACAAACACAGACACTCAAAAAAAGGAATCTACACGACAGATAGGCCATAATTAGTAAATCTAGAGTAACAGAGGAAAATGAGACTTTGAAGGCCCACCTCTCCAAGCTCACCCCAGAGCTGCACCTGCCTTGGCCTCGGCGCCTTCCCTTGGCCCTAACGAGACTCAGGGCACTTCCTGGGCACCCCTTCCTAGGCCTGCTGGATCTCGTACTGGCTAGAGCACAAACATAGGAACTAGGAAATCGACACTCTTGCCCTCCCCATGGTCACGATGGAATGACTCATTTGTGTCATAAGCCGCCTTCCTGCTTCCCCTTCTGGGTCCTTTAATCATGATAATCCTATGTCTACTCAGCACCCTGCCCTTTTAGGCTTTTTTCTAGGTTTTTTTCCAATCTCAGATGTGAGCCTTTATTAATGACAAAATCCCACCCCAGCCCTGAATGCAAGTTCCTTTTACCTTTCCTGCGCCACAAGGGAAGCCTCAATCAGCTCCTTAGGTGTCACGGAGCCCTCCCCTCAAATTCCGCCTCCAGCACAAGTCCAGACAATTCCAGCTCCCCTTTGTCTCAGGTCAGAGGACTCCCCCTCTCTCTGTGGTCCTCTCTGTGCCCTCAATGACAATAAAGTCCTCCTTTTTTTCACTTCTGCTTTTCTGCCATGCCAAAAATGGAACACTGGGAAGCAGCCAAAGCTTCTGACTGTGAGCTAAAGGGTGCCGTCGTGCGGCTGCGTTTCTTTCCCAGGAGGACACAGGCTGACAGCGGCAGTGGTGAGGGTCAGGCCGGGCCCAGGAATCACGAGCAGAGAGGTGCACGAGCCCAGGGCTGCAGAGAGACCCAGGCACGAGGCCCTGCCGGCAACACCTCTGATCCTCTTGCTCTTTAGAAGGTGAGAAACTGGTTTTCCTCACTTCCAGGAGAGAAGAGAAAAGGTAAATGATTAAAAAAAAACAAAAACCAAGTAGCATTGCCTTTCTAGTGCGCGTGCTGCGGCGAGCCCAGCACAGTGTGCGCTCACTGTGGCTCCAGCGGCAGGAGGGCCCTGTGCCCCAGCTGGCTGGCGAGAAAGCGGTCACACGCCATCAGGGCCACTTACACGGCTGACACACACGTGGGGCCTCTGGGTGGGTGGGGAGGAGGAGCGCCGGGCTGGGCGGGGGCGTGCTCTTCCCGTCAGGGGCAGAGCGCGGGTTCTGCTCAGGCTCCACGTGAAACAGCGCCTCTTGTTATCTTACAGACTGCAAAGCCCCACAAACCAAGCACACCTCCGGCTGCCCCAAAGAGAGAGACGCTGCGGAGCCGGTGCTGCACCTAGTGGCTGCAGCCCAAGGAGGGCGCCAGGAGGGGCAGTGCCGGGGGCCACCACAAGGTTTGCGTCCCTCATTCCTTCCCCGTGGTCCTCAGCACCTGCACTGAGGTCTTATTAATTCACTGGACAAGAACCGAGAGGATGATCTCAGCAAGGCAGCATTCCAGAAGGTCAGGACGCATGAGTGCAACTGAAGCTGGGGTGGCATTCTTCAGACATTTCATAGCCCCAGTGCAAGATTAAACACTGAAAACCAAATACAACAACGTGGACGCCCGGGTCCCGACACTCACAGCACTGCGTGGTGTTGGACACACAGGCGCCTTCGCAGCGCAGCTTGACTGTCCGGCACACAACTTCGATGTCACTTTTAAACTGGCAGAGGCAACAGGCCATGTGGCTCGGTAAGATCCTGCGGACAGAGCACAGAGCAGCGAGTCAGAGAAGGGGAAGGGCCGCTGCAGCGGCAGGAGGCGCAACCTGGCCCAGCTAGCACAGCAGCTCCGAGGCGGCCTGGTGGCTGGGGCACCCGGGGCAAGGAGCTGCTCAGCAGCACTGCAGACGCTGAGGCCAGAGGCGCCCACGGAGGGTGAGCAGGCAGTGTGGGGACTGGCCCCCAGTGAAGGGGGCCTGGCCCTGGGACCATGGGTCCCTTCCTTCAGGAGCATCTCGGCCCTGCTGGAAAGTGGCGCTGGGGGGTGGGCTTGCGCAGGGAGAGGCAGCTCCACGCACTCCGGGCGGGCGGGCGGGTGGCCCGCTGGCCTGGTAGGAGGGGAAGCAGGAGACCTCCCTCGGCCTGAAAACACCCTCCTGGCCCACGTGGTGCTGCTGAGTGACAGCAGAGATAGCACTGGCCAAAGCCACACACGTGGAGCGTTCAAACGTGCGAGAAGGGCTCCAGGGCCTGGGTTTGAGCCCAGAACCACAAAGCGGAGGAGGAGGGCAGGCAAGTGGGGTCACGGGAGGGAGAACTATGGGTGCAGAAGGACCCTCACAGAAAAGGGTGGCTGTGACTCCATGGAGCGGCGGCAGCGTGGAAGTGGAGGAGGGTGCCTGGCGTGGCCACCTTAGTCAGCAGACAAGGCTGTGGCGATGCGCCGCTGGAGAGAAAGGGGCTGAGGGCTGCTTGCGTCTTCGCCGGTCTCAAAGGATTGAGCCACCAGTTATTTCTCAGTCCCCGAGGGGACACGCTATCAGGAGCGGCTCCGGGTGACAGCACCCTCCTCAAGCGAGCAAGCTCAGTGTCCCGGGCCGCTGGAGTCACGAGCGGGGCAGGAAGGTCGGTCCCTGGGCCGTGTCCACCCTGACACGCTTAGCCCGCAGGACTCAGGAGGAAACCAGACAGCTCACAGGACAAGGGGCTCCGACCCTCCCCAAGTGCACTGGCAGGAAGGACACAGAACAGCGTAGGGAAAGGTTTGGGCCTAAAGGAACCAAGAGCACGACACGCAGGCCTTAACTTTGCTCGGTCCCAAATCAAGACAAAGACATTAACAATAGCAACAGAACGGGCTTCTGGCCAAAGCACCATGACGAGACAAATTTAAGTTCCCACCTGCGGACAGACACTGGCCCCAGTAACCCGTGCAAGCGGCCATCAGGCAGCCCAGAGAGTGCTGCCCAAGACACGGGAAGCGCAGGACGTGGCCCTCGGACGGGGGCTTCCTGCTTTCAGAGCGTTTCCAGCGAGGAGGATCGAGGAACAGGAGGGCCGAAGCAGGCAGAGACCGGTGTCCCCACCAAGGAAATGGAGCCGCGGGTCCAGGAAATCCCCAGTGGCCCTGGCCACAGGCTGGGTGTGAGAAGCGAAAGGGCCCGGGGGCAGGGTCTGTGCAGCCGGGTGTGGGGCTGGGCGGGAGGGGCTGGAGTTCGGGAAAGTGCAGTGAGCGGTGAGTGCAAGGGAGGAGGCAGCGTCTGGGCCTGGGAACAGCAAGGGGCACGCCCGCCCGAGGACCCGAGTGTCCCATGGGGCAGGAGCACGTCTGCCCTGCAGCCGCCTGGACCCCGCTGGATTCAGGGGCCTCCTGCTCACACAGGACTTCCCTAGGCTTCCATGAACAGAGAACTTTCTCCTGAAGGCTGCTTTGGTGGTCCCACCCAGATCCTCAAAGTTAGGCGCCAAGGAACAAAATGGATTTTACTGCCAGCACCTGAGACTGCACATGCATATTTTTCAGGATATAAAAATATGTCATAGCCAACAAATTAAAATTATCTCCTGGAGTCTAATAAACATTTATTGAGTGCCTGGCGTAGTAGCACACACCTGGAATGCCAGCACTGGGGAGGCTGAGACAGGAGGATCGCTGCAAGGTTGAGGCCAGCCTGGGATGAAGTAGGAAGAAACAAAGAAAGAAGAAAGAAGGAAGGAAAGAGAGACAGACAAAGGAAGAAATTACTCAACATGCAAAGCAGCAAGAAAATATGTCTTAGGGGCTGGGGAGATGGCTCAGTGGAATAAGCGCTTCCCTGGCAAGCACAAGGGCCTGAGTTCAATCCCCGGTTCCGCAAAAAAAAAAAAAAGAAAGAAAATATGTCACATAGTTTGTTTAGAGGCTACAATCAACAAAACCAACTCAACATTTACACAGATATTAGGATGACAAACGAAGACAGTAGAACAGTTACTGTAAGTGTGTGCGCCTGAGACTCCTGGGGCAGGAGCTGAAAAGGTCTCCGGAGCAGGCTGGCACTTGTCCTTCCCCAGGGAGCTGGGGGGGGGAGGGGCCACCTCGGGGCCTCGGAGGCTGGCCAGTGCTGAGGCTGGTGCAGGGACAAGGGGCTGGGTGAGGCGGGGGCTGAGTGGGGCCGGACACTGCAGGAGGTGGAGGAGGCCCAAAATGCAGCCGGGAGAGGCCACTGGGCGAGCACAGCACCTCGCAGGCCTCTTCCCCGGGCAGCCTTACACACGCAGTGAGCTGTGCCCCACACCTCTGTTACTCAAGGACTCCAGGTGGAGGCGGACCGGATTTGAACCGGCCCAGGCTAACTAGCAACTCAGTGAGACCTTGCACCAGGAAGAGAAAGCAAGCAGCCTCCCCGAAGTGCGAAAGTGTGTCACAAAGACCTAAATGTAAATAGACAATTCTGAGAGAAAGCAGAGGAGAAAACTTTGCACTGTGGGTAGACGATGGGTTCCCAGACAAACATTTCTTAGGGAGACAGAAAAATGCACAAATCACACAAGAACAACTTGCTACATTACACTCCACAAAAACTTAAGAAATTTAAAATTTCTGTTCTTCAGAAAAAACAAACCATAACCAGAGAAAAAATATTAACTAAACATAGGGCAGTGAAAAGGGATGTGTATCTGGTAGACAAAGCACACTTGGGGTTTGTTTCAGTATTTTTCGAAGCCCTTGCATGAGCTCCTGCTTGGGATCCTGGGGTCCACCCTGCAGGCTTCCCCCACTGCTGGCGGGAGCTGCTAAGTTCAGCCAAGAGAATAAAGGTGAGCCAGAAGGCCAGCTCTGGTGGTCTCATTTCTGCATTGTGCAGGCAAAGGTGAAACTCTACGGTCAGAAGCAAAGCGTGTGCTTTGCAGGCCGCTGGTGGGAGGGCTGTGCGAGGCCGTGAGGGGTGGCAGCGCGGGGACATCGGAGCAAGCCCACAGGGTCGGGCCTCAGCACTCCTGACCCAAGGACGGCAGGAGGACCTCTGCAAATTCCAGGCCGGCCTGGGCTCCAGACTGAGTTCAACACCCCCACCAAAAAGAGAGGAGGAAGGAGCAAGGGATAGGAAAGGCAAGAGAAAGGGAGAGCCGGAGAGAAAGAAAATAGTGTCACAAGCTCAACAAAATAAAAATGAAGTGAAGTATACCCACGGGACGGACTTACAGCTCTTCCAACGCCAGCGTCACGGCGACAACGCTCTCCAGGACCGCCAGGGGCACGTGGGTTGCTCCCAAGTCTCTAGAGGAGGAGAGAGGCCGGCAGTGGTCATGGAATGGCTTTGGGGGCATTTCGGGGCATGGGAGTTTCTGTTTTGCCTCCCGGGGAAACAAGACAGCGCAACAGTTTACGTATTGCAGAGGATAATCTCAGAGGCCCGCCCGAGAAGAAATGTAGTATTTGCCTCATCAAGTCAGTGACCTCACGCCGCAGACAGGAGAGCCGTGCTCAGACCCTCATCTGCCCCTTCCTTCCCTCCAGGCTTTCAGTAACAGCGCTTCTGCTTCCTGGGCTCCTGGCGCCCCTGCATCCCTGTACCCGCTGCAGAGCCGCATGCTCCTCAGCACCGCCCGCTGCCTGTCTGAGCTCTGCAGCCTATTGTATTTCCTTTCCTTTCCTAGTAGTTCAGCTGGCCTTGCTGGCCTCGAGCTCTTGCCTCAGCCTGGCGGGTGCTGGGATTACAGGTGGGCACCACCACTCCTGACTATGTATCATTTCTTTCTTTCTTTTTCTTTTTCTTTGTTTTCTCATTTATATACTTGGTATAGGGTCTCAGTATACTGCTGAGGCTCATAGTGATCCTCCTGATTTCAGCCTCCTCAGTGCTGGGATTACCGGTGTGCGCAGCCACGCCCAGTCCCTATACATCATTTCTTTTCTTTTTTTTTTTTTAATTTTTAGGGAAGGGTCAACATGGTGTTCAGGCTCTTACTACTAGTTCAGATTCGTAGTGATCTGCCTGTTTACAGCCTCCCAAGAGCTGGGATTACAGGCAGGCACCACCACGCCCAGTCTCAACTGCTGTCTCAACACACTGGGGGGGGGGGCTGGCACAGCAGGCCCAGGATTGAACCCCCAGCCCCTGTGCCTGCTTGCTGATGCTTTAATCTGCTGAGCTATTTGGCCAGCCCTCTATACATCATTTTTTTTTTTTTTGGCGGAACCGGGGATTGAACTCAGATCCTTGCGTTTGCCAGTCAAGCGCTTATCCTACTGAGCCATCTCCCTGGCCCCTATACATCATTTCTTAATCTTTTCTTTGCTAGTAATTTTAATAACCTAATTAAAAATTAGATTCAATGCAAAATGCTTAACCTCTGATGGAAGGAACTGAGAAGGGAAGAAACCCAAGCGTGACTTATGAGTACTGCTATACTTACAGATATTTTAAAGCTGGTAATTTAAAAAGAGATGGATCTTCAATAGTTGTCAGTGGGTTATGGTTGAGAATTCTGAAAAATGCAATGGAATTAAAATTATCTATAGTTTCAATGTGCATGAGACTACATGAAAATTTTGCTTTTTTTTTTTTTTTTTTTTTGGTGGAACTGAGATTGAACTCAGACCTTTGTGCTTGCCAGGCAAGCGCTTATTCTGCTGAGCCATCTCTCCAGCCCCACTGTTTGCCTTTTTTTGGCAGCAAACTTCTAGATGAATGGCGCTTGCTATGGCTCCCTATGAGCAACCCTTAGAGCCCATAACGTGCTCTTCCTCTGGTCCCTAGAAGACAGAGTGCCAAAGAGCAAGAGGGGGCATGGGGGGAAGAGTGAGGAGGAGACAAAAGCAAGAGAAAGAACCTCCTCGCAGTGGCGGCGCTGACAGGGTTTCAGCGGCCTCCAGGATCAAGGAGCTTGCCTTGCATCTTTAGGACTTGCACACAGCTCAGGGTCTAGTTCAGTAAAGGAAAAGATCGCGAGGAGGAGCCAGCGCGGAGCACATTCCCATCTCCCGCTCCCTCGAGTCCTGCTCTCCAGCGCGCCTCTGGGATGTGCCGTGCAGTCGCCCTCGCCCGCGTGTCACTGTCAGGTCTGCACCGCCGCAGGCCTGAACTTTACTGGGCCTTCCAGGTTGGTTCACTAGATCCGCACTACTCAGTTTTCATACCAGTAACTAAATGCATTCTGTCTCCTCTCCCATCTTCCTTTTTGTTCTGTCCTCTTCCTCCTCCTCTTCCTTCTTTTCCTTCTCTCTCCTTCCCCACACACTTTTCCAGACTGACTTTAATCTCTTAGGATAATGGAGGTATTTGAGCCCCTTATTTGCATACCCAGCCCCAAAGCAAGCCTTCCAGAAGGTTCCGTGGCTTCAGCCCTGGTCCTCACCGACCAAGCCTGTGGCCGCCCCCCCAACACCCTCCCGCCTCCTCAGGCTCCGTCAGTGGGGCTCCCCGCATGCCGCCCTTGCTGGGGACCGCTCTGAGCTTGCTCTGCTGTCCTTCTCACTAGGTGTGCGCACCGGCAAACACGCAGAGCCGCTCACGCCAAGAGCTCCGAGAGCAGCCTGACAGAGAGCAGCGCCTGGCAGAGTCGGCCCACAGCGCCCGGCACAAGCTGGCCCTGCACATGATGGCCAGCAGTGGGCTGCGTGGAGGGCGCTGACACGGGGGTGCTAGCAGACACGCGCGGCCAGCTGGTGGTTCCCATCTGCGTCAGCAAGGGAACCCTAGGCTGACTGGAAACATTATGAATCTGAAGTACAAGGCTGTAAATTAATATGTTATTTATAACCTCTAGAGAAACACACTCAAAAAAAATAGGGTAAAAATAAGGGAACTGAAATGGCGTGCTCGTATGCTGCTTCCAACACAGAAGAAGGTAGTCATGGCGGAAGTGAGGAGAGTAAAAAGAAAGAGAACTAAGAGGTGGGGCTGGGGAGATGGCTCAGTACAATAAGCGCTTGACTGGCAAACACAAGGATGAGTTCAATCCTCGGTTCTGCCAAAAAAAAAGAACTAAGAGGGAAATGTGAAATATATGTCTTATTTTATAATTAATTACACTGAGTAAACTCTCCAATTAGAAGGTTGAAATGGGTAGAATAGACTTTTTTTTTTTTTTTTTGGTGGAACCAGGGATTGAA